TGCCTCTCTGCCTCTCTGCCTCTCTGCCTCTCTGCCTCTCTGCCTCTGCCTCAAGTCCTGGGACCAAAGCCACCACTCCTATTGTATTACCTTTCTACTGAGATCATTCACAGTGAGGAAATTACAACCATATTAACAACATACCTAAACCTGATTTGATCTCTTCTTCAGCCACAAACCAGAATAGACTATTTTCTCAACCCAAGGATATGGTGGCTGCCTGATTGTGGTCCCAGCACTCTAGAAGAGAAGACACCCAGCTCTAGAGTTTAAGGCAAATCCCAACTATATAGCAAGACTCTTCTTTAAAAAAAATAATAATAATCTGAAGCTGGTGAGATGGTTCAGCAGTTAAGAGCACATATTGTGGATGGGAGAGATGGCTCGGCAGTTAAGAGCACTGGCTGCTGTTCCAGACGTCCTGAGTTCAATTCCCAGCAACCACATGGTGGCTCACAACCATCTATAATGGGATCCGATGCCCTCTTCTGGTGTGCCTGAAGGCAGCTGCATTGTACTCACATATATAAAATCAATAATAAATCTTTTGAGAGAGAGAGAGAGAGAGAGAAAGAGAGAGAGAGAGAGAGAGAGAGAGAGAACGAACGTATTGGTCCCCCAGAGGACCCTGTTGGATTCTCAGTGCCCGTATCATGCATCCCACAACCAACTTTCACTCTAGAGGGATCTAACACCTCCAGGTAACACAGGCACCAGAGCACGCAAACAAAATACCTGTACACATAAAATAAAATTTTAACTATTTTTAAATAGTTTTTTTTTAAGAATTCCAGTATCAGATGCCATGTACGGAGTGGGCCATCGTATATGTGTGGAGATCAGAGGACAGCTTACAGGAGTGGGTTTTCCCCTTCCACTATATCAGCCCTGGGGATTGAACTCAGTTCAACAGGCTTGGGAGCAAGCACCTTTCCTCACTGAGCCCTCTTGCTGGCCCTCCGTATTTTCAAACACTGTATATGGATCGCATTGCACACAGTTGGCGTCTTATTTCACTCCATTCTCATGCCCCATCATTACGGAGCAATAGCTTTTTCCTTCCCTCGTATTACTCCGTTGACGTAATACAGCCATGTGTTTCTTCTCTGCTGGGTTGGGTCTTTGAGTCATTCCTCTACGAATTGGATCGTTGTGGGTGTTCTCCAACATACCTTTTGTCAACTTCAGCCCTCATTTTTCTTGGGTAAATATGTAGAACTGCTGAGTTCTCAGACAGACCTCCAGACAACATGCATGTGCATGTCTATATTGACATACATGGACTGTATATGAAATACAGTGTTTATTTAGTTTTATTAGAGTGCCAGGTTCAGTGAGAAATGCTGCCCCGGGTGACAGAAGGAGATACCTGCCCTTGACCTCTGGCCTTCTCTCTCTCTCTCTCTCTCTCTCTCTCTCTCTCTCTCTCTCTCTCACACACACACACACACACACACACAAAACTCAAACTCATAGTCACGCACTGACACACACCTTCACACAAACACATACAACACATAACTCACACACCTCAAACTCACATGCACACACTCATACAACCACACATGGACACACACCTTCACCCTCACCCACATGCTGATGCAATCACATGCACACACTTGCACGCTCACACACTGACACAATCACACACACAAACTTCCACACTCACATATCCACTCACACTCGTGCACATGCACACACACTTGCATTCTCCCATTCACATACACCTACACTCAAAAACCACAGAGTCACGCATGTTCACACTCACACACACTCATGCACACATACACGAACATTCACAGAGAGACATGCACAATTTTCAACCACATACACACTCACACATTAACACTCTCACACAAATGCTGTCACACAGTCACACACTCACACACTCACACACACAGTGACACATATTCACACTCACACACACTACACATCCACACACACTCATGCACATGTGCACACACATTCACAGAGACGCCCACATTTACCATCACATACACACCCGCACTCAACACATTCACACTCACACACAGTCACACATGCACACACTCACACACACACATACTCCCGTAAGCAGTGTGAACACTCCAGGTATTCCTTCCCCATCTTCCGCAGTATCAGATGGTATGGACACATTGACTTCCAAGTGTGGGGGATGCTGACTCTGCCTTCCTGATGGTCTCATCTTCTGTCCCAGTGCCAGGAGAAATGGATAATACCCCTACCTCAGCCATCAATGTATGCACTGGAACTGCTCACTGTGTATGCCTGGGAACAGGGCTGCCAAGCTGAAGACTTCGACATGGTACAAGGTGTCAGGACCGTGCTGCGACTCGTCAGTCAACCGACAGAGCTGTGTGTCTACTGGATAGTCAACTACAACTTTGAGGATGAGACAGTCCAGAACAATCTTCTGTGCCAGCTCAAATCTCCAAGGTACCCCAGCCTCTGGAGCTCTCCAGAGCTGCGGTCCAGGGCCGCACTGAGAGCGAGTTCTGAACCCTTGCTGGGTGCCAGGGGAAACCTGAGGGTCTGCTTGCAAAGGAGAGCCAGCTAACGCGTTTCATGTTCCAACTCATGGTCGGGTTTTGTCTGCCAGTGGGTGGCAGGAGGAGGGGGCCGGGAGAGGGAAAAGATTTTGCAGCAAGGAGCAGAGGGATCTAATGTCTCTGAAAAGCAGAAGTTGAGAAAGTCAGTATGGCTGGGTACTGTGGCTCCCTCAGCAGCTTAGGGAAGCCACAGCCTTCAGAGTCTGGGCTGCCAGCTTCCCCCAGCCTCTGCAGCATGCGTGTGGGTGGGTGTGCTCGCTCACGCGCACACTCGTGCATGCATGCATATGTGTCTGTCTGTCTGTATGCACGTGGAAGCCAGAGGTTGACATCAGGTGTCTCCTCACATCTGTACCTCACTCTCTACTTTGTGTTTACAGATTCATTTGTTTTATGTGTATGGGTGCTTTCCCTGTGTCTTATGTCAGTGAACCACATGCATGCAGTGCCTACAAAGGCCAGAAGAGGGAGTCAGATTCCTTGGGACTGTAGTTAACAGATGCTTGTGAACCCCTACTTGGGTTCTCAGACTGAACCTGGGTCTCCTTCCTACAAGAGAAGCCAGTGCCCTTAATCGCTGAAGGGCCTCTCCAGCCCTTCTACCTTTTTTTTTTTTTTTTAAGTCAGGGTCTCCTACTGATGTTCTATAGCCAATAGGCTAGACTAGCTGGCCAGGGAGCCCCCAGACCCACATGCCTCTGTCCCCTCAGGGCTGGGATTACAATTCACACCAATGTCTGGCTTTTTATGTGAGTCTTGGGGACACCGACTCAGGACCTGTTTGTGAGGCAGGTACTTCACCTGCTGATCCATCCCCCAGTTCGATTCCTCTCTTTCCATTAAGATTTATTTGTGTGTCCGTTTGAGAGCAGAGAAGTGGGTGTTCACTGCTTTGCACATAGAGACCAGAAGAGGGGTATCAGGTGTTCTCCATCTGTCCCTTGGAGGTAGGATCTGTGTTCCTCAACCTGAGTTCCTGTGTTTCTCAACTAGGCTGGAAGCCAGCAAGCCCCAGAGATCCTGCTGTCTCTACCCCACCCCTAAGAGCCAGGGTTAAACCTATGTTCAGGACACCTATATTGTTATATTGGATCTCAAACTCTGGTCCTGACGGTTGAGTACTAAGCACTCATAGGACTGATCTCTAAGCACTCTTAGGACCGAGCACTAAGCACTCTTAGGACTGAGCACTAAGCACTCTTAGGACTGAGCACTGAACACTCTTAGGACTGATCTCTAAGCACTCTTAGGACTGAGCACTAAGCACTCTTAGGACTGATCTCTAAGCACTCTTAGTTGCCAAGTTGTCTTCCCAGTCCCAGATTTATTTATTCATTTATTTATTTATTATTTATTAAAAATATTTATTTACTTATTTTATATATGTGAGTACATTGCGGGGTCAGATCCCATTACAGATAGTTGTGAGCCACCATGTGGTTGCTGGGAATTGAACTCAGAACCTCTGGAAGAGCAGTCAGTGCTCTTAACTGCTGAGCCATCTCTCCAGCCCCCCAGATTTCTTTCTTGTGGGGGTACATGGAAAGTGAAATAGGATCTTACTGTATAGCTGTGGCTGGCCTAGAACTCACTCTGTAGACCAGGCTGGCCTTGAACTCACAGAGATCCACCTGCCTCTGCCTCCCAAGTGCTGGGATTAAAGGTGTGTGCTGTTAAACCCAGACCTGATTTTTTTTTCATCTAATAAAATTCCTAGACCAGTCATCCTGGATCCAACTGACCCAACCAACAACGTGGGCAAAGGTGTTAGGTTCTGGCAGCTACTGAAAGAGGAAGCTCAGGCCTGGCTAGACTCTCTCAGCCTGAATGAGTCACCTGCAACATATTGGGATGTTCTGGTAAGAGGGTTTCCACACTGGAGAGAGGAATCTCCCAACTCTGATCTGGGTGTGTGCCTTAGCTTCCTATGTGTGACCACTATAACACAGTCACACCCTCAGTGTGGCTTAAAACAACAAAAATGCATTCACCCATTGTTCTGGATGCCAGAGTTTCAAAGACAAGAAATGGAGAGCACCGGGCTCTCCCGGAGGATTCAAGGGGACCTTTCCCTGTGACATCATCACCCTACCTTTCCCTGTGACATCATCACTTTTCCTTTCCCTGTGACATCATCATCATCACCCTTCCTTTCCCTGTGACATTGTCACCCTACCATTCCCTGTGACATTGTCACCCTACCATTCCCTGTGACATCATCACCTTCTTCTTTGAGTTTGCATGCATGCATTGGCAGGCATGTTCATGCACATGCACAGTGCACACACCTGCACACAGAGCACTCACGCCTTATAGTCATACGTAGCCTCGCCTGCGTATGGACTCCTGTGGGCACGCTCACATGTGACACGTGGACACTCACGCCCATCCTTTACACCATGTGAGGTGTGGGAGGGGAAGATGCTGTCGCTAAGGGTGACATCACCTAGGGGCACCAAGATCATCTGAGACTGCGGAGGGAGTTGAGCAACCCTGGTGTCCTCAAGGCGGCTGTACCGGCCTCTGCCAGTGCGCCCCAGGAAGCGTATCAACTTAGACTTCTCTTCCTCTCCTCTCCTGTTTAAAAGAAACATGTACCCTAAATTCATAACCTTATCGTTCTGACAGTGGGTAATCCAAATGCAGTCTTGCAATGCTGGAATGGAGACCCTCGAGGTCTCCCTCTCTAGTTAACCTTCTCAAGGCTGTCCTGGTGTCCTGGCTCGTTCATCCGCCTTCAAAACCATTAGCTCAACATCCTTGAGCCCCCTCCTCTCTGCGGCTGTCCTCAGCGCTACTTGTTCAAGTTTCACCTCCCATCTGACTCTTGGAAGGTCCTTGGGGACCTTCTTATGCTAGCCCAGGACACCTCCCATGTCTGTACACCACGAACCCCTCAGAAGGATTCTGGCCTCTCCCAAATAGCCTATGAGGAACCAGGAAAGTTTATGCTGGAGTAGAGTGGAGGGAGGTAGTGCAGGGGGGTTAGGTTTTTTATGCCTGGCATCTCAAGAGCGTTCTCTGGATATATCAGTGCAAACTCCAGAGACAAGAAAGTCTCTGCCCACAATTGAAAGCAGGCTGGCCGCGGGATAGAGGTGACTTTTGTGCTGGCTTCTGTGCAGAGCTCACCAAGGTTCTCTCCTCCCTAGCCCATGCCACTTTTCAACACCCCAAGCCACCTCCTGGACAAATTCATCTATGACTTCCTCCAGCCCGACAAGGTCTTCATAGACCAGATCAAAACAGCTGTTGACATTATCTGTTCCTTCCTTAAAGAGAAATGCTTCCGGAATTCTGGCACCAAAGTCCTGAAGACTGTCAAGGTGAGCGCTGGTCCTTCCCCATTCCAGTTCTTGGGTACCATGAAGACGAGGGTGAGGGGAAGCAGAAGTTCACTTCCCTTTCCTCCCTAGGGAGGATCCACTGCCAAAGGCACAGCCCTGAAGCAGGGATCAGATGCTGACATCGTAGTGTTCCTCAGCTCGCTGGAGAGTTATGACTCTCTAAAAATCAAGCGCTCTTGGTTCGTCCAGAAGATCCAGGAGCAGTTAGAAGCCTACATGCAGCCCCTTGAGTTGGAGGTGAAGTTTGCGAAATCAAAATGGAAGGACCCCAGGGTGCTGAGTTTTACCTTGAAATCCAAGAGTCTCAATGAAAGTGTCGAGTTCGATGTCCTTCCTGCCTGTGATACACTAGGTAAGAGTGCCCAGACCCTAGCTCCTGAGAAGATTCTGGAAGGAGAGGAGGGCTCCTTCCACTATCTGGAATGCTGAATAATGAGCCATAACTATCTACCAATTCTAGCCCAGGCCCCTAGCAGGTGCATAGCTACAAAACATATACATGTGATTTCATTCTCATGAAAGCACCTCCAGATAGCCTCCAGGAGCTGTAGGCTCCATCTGCATGGTGTGTCAGGGATGGCACAGACAGAGTTAGATACGTATCATAGATAACATCCCTTTGTCCCCTTCAAGGAGAAGAGAATAAAAGAATAGAGCGGGCTGAGGCTTTGTGAAACAAGAAACAGGAAATTGGTGTAACAAATTGGCAACACTCCTCCTTAAAAATCCCATTCACAGGTTAGAGCTACAGAGATATAGATGAATAAAAGGCCTCAGGGTAGGCTGAGGAGGTGGCTCTGTGCTGTTTGTCATTCAGCTGTGGAGACATGAGTTGTATCCCTCAGCACCGATGCATAAAAAGCCAGACTCTACTTCAGCCGATGGGGTGCATATGAAGGGGACGTACGTGGAGGCAGAGGAGGTCTAGCCAAATCAGAAAGCCCTAGTTTCAGTGGGAGAGCCTGTCTCAATGGAGAAAGGTGAAGGATAACTCAGCAGAACCCCACTTCAATGTCCTGCCTTGAGTTTCTGCCCTGGGCTCCCTTCATGATGGCCCTCCAAGATGGCTGGAGATCCGGAAGTGTAAACCAAACAAACCCTTTCCTCCTCTAAGTTGTCTTGTGAATATGGACATGTTTGCTTGTCTGTGCGTGTGTAAGAGGCTGTATTCAATGTGAGGACCACAGAGTAAAATGAAATTTGGGTTGGAACTGTAGCTCTGTGGCAGAGTACTTGCCTGTATGCTCAGGACCCTAACCCTAACCCTAACCCTCGGTTTCATCCCCCGACCCCCACCCCACTGTAAACACAAACCAGCTGTCTCAGTTTCTCTCAGAAAAAAAAAAAAAAACAGGACTGTATAGAATGGGGGTCATTGTGCTTTTGTCTGTCTGTATGTATCTCTGTCTATGTGCTTTTGGAAAGGCAGCTGACCTGAATTGGCTTCTGTTGCTAAAACACTAAGCAAATCAACTTGGTTTGTTCATCTTACATGGGTTCCATCACGGAGGGAAGTCAGGGCTGGAACCTGGAGGTAGGAACTGAAGGAGAGGCCAGGGAGAGGTGCTGTTTACTGGTTTGCTCTCTCTAGATGGCTCACCCTGCTTTCTTAAACAACTCTACAACTCAGGACCACCTGAACAGGAGTGGCACCAACCATAGTAAATGGCCTAGACCTTTCTGCATCATTCATCAGTTAAGAAAATGGCCCACAGATGTGGCAATATACCAGTCTGAGGGAGGCAGTTCCTCAGTTGAGATTTCCTCTTCCCAGGTGTGTCTAGGTCTGTGTTGACAGAAAGCTCACTAGTACAGCAACACAGTGAATATTTTCACCCTTGAAGGGCACAGTTTTCCCAACTCTGCCTTTTCAGTGTGAAAACAGCCGTGCACGAGAGATTCACAAATGGGGTCAACTCTGTCCCAATAAAACTTTATTCACACACACACACACACACACACACACACACACACACACACAGAGAGAGAGAGAGAGACACACACACACGAGACTAAAGACAACTCAGGGATAGAGTGCACAAGGTTGAGCTCAGACCTGACCAGAGAGTCTTTCTCCAATGGTGAGAACCTTCTAGATCTGGGTTCTGAATCCACTGGGAGCTTGAGATGGAGCCACTCAAGAGCCGAATCTTGGTCTTGTCTCAGTTATCTCAAATATAATCAGCCACAGTGGCCAGTGGCTGGTCTAGTGGGTATCACTGGGGTGTGTGTGCACTACTGTAAACCCACTGTGCCCTCCAGACATGCAGTCACCTACTGTCTGCATCTTGGATAGCCATCAGTAGTTCAAATACATGTACATGGTTTGAAGGAAATTACCCCACTGAACTGAATCCCGCCCACAATGAAATTACATTTGTCACAAAAAAAAAAAAAACAACAACAAAAAAAAAACATAGGATGGCTTCAGTGACCAAGGAGAGGGCTGGCTGTTCTTTGGAGGACCTAAGTTTGGTTCCCAGCACGAAATTCCAGTCACATCCTGTAACTGCAGCTCCAGGAGAACTGGTACCCTCTTCTGGCCCTCAGTCACTTGAACTTACACATGCATGCACACAGGACACATGAACACACACAGAGACACACACATGCAGGCACACATGCATGCACACACACAAATGAAAATAAAGTTTGGAAACACCGGTTTTGAAAACTGTTGACATGGATTCATTGGTAGAATGTCTCACATGGCCAAGATCTGGTTACAATTCCCTGTACTGCATAAACTGGGCATGGTGGTGCACAGCTGTAATCTCAGCACTTGGAAGGTAGAGGCAGGAGGATCAGAAATTCAAGATCCTCCTTGGCTACATAGCAAGTTCAATGTCATCTTGAGCTACATGACATCCTGTCTCAAAAAAAAATAATAATAAAAACTCTGTCGCTTACCATATTCATGTGATCTAACTGACATTTTTCTCCCATGTTAGGTCAACTGCGGTCTGACTCCACCTCCAGGACCTCCAGGACCAAAGCCTACAAGGATCTCATTAAGCTGTATACATCACAGGACAACCCCAAAGGGGGAGAGTTCTCAATCTGTTTTACAGAACTACAGAGAAACTTCATTGAAACCCGGCCCACCAAACTGAAGGGTCTGATCCGCCTGGTCAAGCGCTGGTACAAACAGGTGAGCCAGCCCCCTGCTCTGGCCAAATCTGGCTGTTGTTTGTAACCAGTAAACTGAGACACAGGTTTTGCCAAGTGTCCTGGACAACCAAATCCTCCCATGTTACGGGCTGGGCCTCTTTAGGGAACCTGCTTTTCATTAAGTCATGGATCTTCTGATTGTCTTCTGCCATGATATCTGGGGGGTCAGACTTATTGGGCCTCCTAGGGCAAAGCAATGTGTGGCGATTTCTGACTTCATGCTGGCCAAAGAATTTGGCTTCAACCAAGTTCTCTCCTGAGAGGCACGGATGGGGGTTAGTGCTGTGTGCCACAGGTTGCCAGTACGGCTGTGTACACACCATGATCTCTCTCACAAGGTAGAATGAGACTGTCCTCTGAAACTAGAGTCACCATGGATATCTGAGGGCTAGTAGGGTAGGGATCTCTGGCTTGACTTTCAGCAAGTCATGTGACTTTCTCAATTCCCCACCTGTCTTCCTCTGATATGGCAATCCATGTTGCAGAACCCATAACTAGCATACAGAGGGTCCCATCAGCCAGCAGTCACATAGCCCAAACGCAGAGCTAGCAGACCCTACCTAGAACTCAGGGTCTCCCTTTTCCAAGTTTTACGTCATTACCCAGTTGCCCTCACTGCAATCCAGGCAAATTAGGAGACATACTGGGCTCCTCTGCCTCGTCAACGTCATCTGACCTCCCCACTCTCCCCACTAGTATGAAATGAAGATGAAGCCAAAAGTATCTTTGCCCCCAAAGTACGCCCTGGAGCTGCTCACCGTGTATGCCTGGGAGCAGGGCAGTGGAATAGATGACTTTGACTCTGCTGAAGGCTTCCGGACCGTCCTGGACTTGGTCATAAAATACCGGCAGCTCTGCATCTTCTGGACAGTCAATTACAACTTCGAAGAGGAGTACATGAGGTTGTTCCTACTGACCCAGATCCAGAAAAAGAGGTGCCTACTCTCCCTCCCCCGTTCTGAATTAACCCGATTCCCTTCCATGACCTAGATTCTTCTCCCCGTTGGGTCGGGGTCGCGTTCATTCCCAGCGTGAAACTGAGAGGAGAAAACCCAACCTCGGCAGTGGGAGGAGCTTGCCAACCAGGAAGGATGCCGAAGCAGGCGGCCGGCAGAGGGCGCTCGCATTGCTTTCCTTGCGGAGATGTGTTTGTGCTAGACCATCCAGAGAGAGGTCTGAGATGGCAGGATATCCCTGAGAAATCCCGCTGCCGTCCCCAGCCCCACCCCACCCCCGTGCACGCAAGCATGCGTACACCACAGCAAGTCAAAGGACAACTTTCTAGCGTCAGTTCTCTCCTCCCACCACGTGAGTCTAAGAGGAGCAAACTCTAGTAGGTCGTCGATTTGACAGCAAGCTCCTTTACCCTTTATCCAGCCCCTGCCATTAGCATCTAGTCAGATCTGGTTTTATCGTTCAGAACGAAAAGAATAAAGCCAGGCAGGCTGGTACCTACCACAGTCCCAGCATTTCCAAGGCTGAAAGGTGGAAGAGTTGGTTGTTGTTTTGCTTTGTTTTGTTACTTATTCATTCGTTCGTTCGTTTAAGACAGGGTCTCTTTACATAGCCAGCTACCCTGAAACTCACTATGTAGACTAGGACAATCTCCAACGCAGAGAGATCCGCCTGCCTCTGCCTCCTGAGTGCTGGGATTAAAGGCGTGCACCACCGCACCCGGGCAGGAAGATCTTAAATTAGACGATAGGCTTGTCCACATAGCAAACTGTCCCCCCAAAATTATTTAAATAAAGGGAGGGGTCCTCAGAGTGTACACTCGATACCATGAGCAAGAAACAAAGGCGGAGGAAGAAAGGGAAGAGGGGAAGAAAATAAAACAGCGAAGGGAAGAAACAAGAGCATTAAGATCAGGAACGCTGGGCTTTCCTGCGCACTCGCACTCGTTCCCCAGCCTATCTTCCAGCCACCACGTTCCCCAACCCAGCAACGTTGCAACTTAGCAACTACTTAGCAACATTGCCTTGTGTGGCGCCTTCTAGTTGAGCAAGAGTCTCTAGAAAGAGGTGGTCACTGTATACTTTGTACAGCTTTGGAGGAGGATGGGGAGCGGTGTTCTTCAAATGTAATTCTAGGAAGTAACTTTGTCTCTTAAGTAGTTTCAAATTGTTTGACCAAGGCTGCCAGGATACATTCTTTCAATGATGCAAACAGGGCCAATCTTGAAAGCCAAGGGTCTTGACAACCCTTTCCCACTGTCTAACCTCTCCTTTAGGCCTGTGATCCTGGATCCAGCAGATCCCACGGGCGACGTGGGAGGAGGTGACCGCTGGTGTTGGCATCTTCTAGCTGAAGAAGCAAAGGAGTGGCTGTCTTCTCCCTGCTTCCAAGTGGGGAAAAAAGGCCCTGTACAGCCATGGAATGTGCTAGTAAGAGCCTGCTAAAGAACTCGAGTGGCCCCATTACAGATTCCAATCAAAGGCTTTCTTAGTGTAGTAGTTTGGAATTGCTGAGGCCCCAAAGAACCAAAACTGGACTCCAGGAATTCAGTCAGTCACGAAAGAGAGAAAGAGAGAAAGAGAGAAAGAGAGAAAGAGAGAAAGAGAGAGAGAGAGAGAGAGAGAGAGAGAGAGAGAGAGAGAGAGAGAGAGAGACTCCCTTCCAGGTACCTAGAGATTCAGAGACAAATGACATGGTGGTATCTAGTCTCTCCAGGAGGGATCTTGTGACAGTACCAAGGCTTTTTGTCCTTTGTTTAGGCAGTGCCTTGCTCCCATTCTGTGCCTCCGTGGCAGAACCACCCATGTCCCCAGTCAAAATGACAGCAGACACTGTCAATTAT